GTGTGGACTGACGTCCCACTGTTGAGGGTAACTGGGAGTGTGTCTCTGAACAGCCTGAAGAAACAGTCTGACAGGAAGAACCAATCACAAAAGCCACGACATCAGAATTTAAAATTTGGGGTCATGTAGGGTCTCTAAAATCAACCGGAATAGATACTGCTTTGAAGTATTTGGCAAGATTTACAGTGGAAATAAATGGAAATAATTCCCTTGAAAATGATCTTACCTATGTTAAAAGCAAAATATACTTAAAAATGGAAGGGGGTCTGGAGGTGTGGCTCCGTCTATAGAGTAGCACGAAGCCTTGAGCGCCATCGGTACATCACAGAAACCAACCAAGGCGGCCCACCTGTAATCCCAGCACTCTAGACACAGAGGTTGATGATCAGAGGTTCAAGATCATCCTCTTCTACAAAGCAAGTGTGAGGTCCTCCTGAGATCCATTAGTCCCTGTCCCTGTTTCAAAACTTAAAAAACAGCTCTTTAATAAAAGAGCCAGTTATCATCATAAGCTAAGATCATAATTCCTAAATCCAGTCAGTCAGTTTCTAGGCGCTTTGGATAAAAACACGGGGGGAGATAAAGACATCACCACTTCTGATGTTCCTTCCGGGGTCATGGTGCTGAGCCATGTGGCCCATGACTTCTGTCCCCGACCATTCTTAAACACTGGGGACTCTCTGGGCAGGGTGTCACACACAGGCAGGGAGATCTCTATGGAGGCCAGCCTGGTCTACAGAGCAAGTTCTGGGGCAGCCAGGGCCACACAGAGAAACCCTGTCTTGAAAACCAAACCAAACAAAAACAAAAGCAAAACAGAAAACCAAATAAAACCATCACCAACAACAACAACAACAAACTACTCCCCCCAAAGCAACAAACAACAAGAAAAAGCTGGAGTCTTGGGCCTGTTCACCACAGCACCTACAACTGCAACCTCCGTCAGTCAAGCTCATGACTGAAAGAAAGTCTTTTGAAGGTGCATATCTGTTACAGCATAATCCAAGGAGAGCTAGCTAGCCTCCAGGGGGAAGTGAAGACAGTGTGGAAACAGGCTCCACAGAGTGTTGGCCCATGCTGGCCTCTTCCTTTTTGCGGCCATGGTCACAGGACAAGTCTGGAAGGATCTGAAGCCAATTCAAAAGCGAGGTGCCTTTTCATTAAAGAAACTAATTCCGTGAAAGGAGGGGCCCTGGGGTTTTACTATTCTCATTCCTTGTTTTTGTTGTTGCTTCGTTTTTGTTTTTGTTTTTGTTTTTTTTTTTTTTTTTTGTGGGGTTGATTGTTCCTCATCTGAAAAGATTTGTCTAACAAGTGATTCCTTCCTTGTTGTCTAACAAGTGATTCCTACCTTGGGATGGTGGCCTTCCAATCTGGAGAAAGGCTCGCTCATTCGTGTCCGAATTCACTTTGGTACTCTAGGAAGCACCATGGCCTGCCACCTAGAAGTCTGGTCACTGGCTACCTCTGGATGAACGTGCCCACGAGACTGTGGTGATGGTGCTTCCTAACCCGTAGTCTGTCTCTAGCCCCTTCTGCACACATACTCTGCACATTCATTCATTCACACACAGCGGGCACCTGACCTTACTGTACTAACTTGAACAACGCTGGAGGCAGACTTCCTTTTCCTAACTACAATGTGTCTCAATAATTCGGCCTGGGAAACAAAGAAAAGGAATGGGAAGTTTAGGGAAGTGAAGGCAGAGAAGAAAGAAAGGAGCTGATGAGTCAGGTGGCCCAGTCTTCGACCTGACCCAGCCAGCCCTGTCAACCTCACTTCCTGCCAGGAAGCTGGAGAGGCCAAAAACACCTCAACAAGAGTCTGAAGTGTTCCTTGCAGTGACTTGGACATGTCCCTATTTCCTTCATGAGTTTACAGCAAGAAAGTGTGGGTGTGACCTGTAGCCAACGGGGCTGCCTGCCTCCAGGTGAGCTGGCTGTAATGCCTTGTCACATTTTCCCACAGGTATGAACTAGGAGCTGCCCTCTTCATCGGCTGGGCAGGAGCCTCTCTCTGCATCATTGGCGGTGTCATATTTTGCTTTTCAATATCTGACAACAAGACACCCAGGTAGGAAAATAGTGCTTAAAAGGCACTATTCTAAATCATTCCATGTGGAACAAGTTACACACAATTCGTATGACTCTTAGAAATTAAAAATTTCAAAGGGTTAGGGATAGCCAGGTGTGGTGGCACACACCTTTAATCCCAGCCCTTGTGAGGCAGAGGCAGGTGGATCTCTGTGAGTTCAAGGCCAGCCTGATCTACAGAGCTAGTTCTAGAACAGCCACAGCTATAAGAAAAACAAAACAAAAACAAAACAAAAAAAAAACCTGTCTTGACAAATAACAGAAAGAAAGAAGGGGGGAAAAAGAACAAGAACAAGGCTAGGGATATAGTTACTATTTTTTATAGTCTTCACTGTGTTCTAAAGCTGTTTGTGCAACTGGGAGGACAAGCTCAGGAAGAGTGTTTTTCATGTCGACTTCACCGTAGTTTCCATGTAGGCAGGAATCGAAGGTCTCTACAAAGCATCCCAAGTTCCAAGAAAATGAACATTAAAAATAGTTCTAAGACAGAATATTAGAACAAATGGGAGTGTCCCGAGGGCCCTCCACAGAGATTCCCTCATGAGAGCTAAGCAGGAAAGTTAGCGCTTGGTACTGACACGAGCATCTCGAACACAGAACCAACCCGTGTGCTTTCCCTTTCAGAATGGGCTACACATACAATGGACCCACATCTGTCATGTCCTCTCGGACCAAGTATCAAGGTGGAGAAGGAGATTTTAAAGCCACAAGCCCTTCAAAACAGTTTGATAAAAATGCTTATGTCTGAAGAGCACCTGGCAAGCTGCGCCTTGAGTTTGTTGTGAAAGCGAACTGTTCTCACAACAACCCTTCCAAGGCTCTCCTGTAATTACCGCTTAAGCTGTTTTTTAAAGTATTGGTTTGAAGACTGTTGATTGGATGATGTAAATGTTCTTATAGTTATATGCTAATCACTTTCTGTTATGCCTTTCTATAAGGAAAATAAACAGGTTATTTACAAGATTTGTCTATTTTATGCACATAGAAGACAAGTATGCTCTTAGTTCAAAGGCTCGGCAAACTTTGGGGTGATGACTGCTTTGATCTTTAGTGTGCTAAGAACTTCCCTCATTTCCTCCATGTTACACAGAAGCGTGTAGTCGATGATGTCTTGTGAAGGGGACAGGGACAGTTTGGGATGACTCCTCATTGGGTGTCCAAGTGAAATCCGAACGTCTGTCAACTTCTAGTTTCTTAGTCCTGTCTGTCAGGATTATCATCATGGTGGCTCAAGAAAGGGCTCATGAGACCAAGATGTCTTTGCCTTTCTGTGGATCATAAACCATAAACTTGTCTGATGCCGAGAGCACATCCCACCAGCCTGCTGGGCACTGTGGTGGTTGAATCCAAAGCCAGCTAAAGAAGGTCTGGGGGCATGCATGGTGCCTGCCTCTCTCTCCATGCGCGTCTTATAGGCCCTGCACACAGCACTGAAGTCACTGAGACACTGGCCACTTTTCAAGACATGGAATGTGATCAGGTAATTTCTGAACAAAGACGCAGATTTGTTCCTGAGGCCAGCCCTGCGCATCACTTCCCCACAAAGGCAGTAATTGTTTCCACTATCACAGGCTTCTACGTCCCAGCACACATACTTACGGCCACCTCAAAGGCAGGTATTCGTTTTCCTGCATATACAGTGAAGCGGGGAGCTGAATGAGCCCTGCAGCAACAGAGCCGGGACAGAAGCTGGCGTGGTCTAGGGTAAAATACACGGCCAAGTTTGAGCAAGAATTGGTTCCTGTGTCATGTACTACAAAGAGTCCAAAGGGAATCACATAGGTGACCTCATGGCTTTCCCAAAGGGTGAATGACTGAAGAGGAGGTACCACATTATTCGCAGGTACTTAATGGAAAAAAAATTTTTACAAAGTTAAAAAAAGTACAATTAAAAATTTAAAAATACGTGTTAAATCTTGAAACTTATTTTTTCATGAAGGTGGGTTAGGTACTACAGACCAGCCTGGAAACAGGGTTGTGTAGGCACACATTTCTGTATATATAAATGTGTATGTATGTAAATAATTATATGTATATAAAAGATTCTTTTTTTCAACGGAACTGGTGTAGATAACAAATTGTAGAATGTAGGGAGATTAGGAGATGAAAGTACAGATGGTATCACGGAAGGGTCATACAAGGTCTGAAGAAAAAGGAGTAAATCAAACTGAATGGGTTAAACACAAAAACAAAAATTAAACTTTCACTTAAGCAGGTAAGTGAAAGACTTTGTGACTTTCAAATAACAACTTAGCTCATATGTTGGGCTTGATCAGATCATTACATTTCCCCAGTACCAGAAAAAAAAATGTGGCAGACACAGATCCTGGAACAGGCCTGCTTGAAAGCTAGCTCTTGTCACTTTCTGGTTTTGCGCTCTTTGGTGAGTGAGTTATTAACTCTTGATTTCTAAGGTCTTCATGATTACACAAAAGAGCACATCTCAAATTCTAACTGAATGAAGGCCTAAGTCACACCCAAAACAGAAGCAAAGCCAGGGGCTTGGGCTGGGTATGGTGGCACACACCTTTCACCCCATCCCTCGGGAGGGAGAGGCAAGTTCTTTGAGTTCAAGGCCAGGATAGGCTATGGCAAGTCGAGTTCCAAGTCGGCCAAGAACGCATAGTTGAGACTTTGTTGAAGCTCAGTAAGAACCTGCTGAGGAAGTGATGGCCAGGCGGCTGTCTGCCCACATCACAGTCTAACCCTCACTAAAGCTTTTAGAAGCCCCCCACACACAGTGGGCCTATTTGCACACAGTGGTCCCCGAGGGAAGGTGGAACAGGTTCTGGATGGCAGCCACGGTAGCCACGGAAATGTGTTCCACGGTCAGAAGATGTGCACACCCCTTCACAGGGTCAGCGGAGACCCTCCCCTAATGAGCAGCCACAGCCACAGGAGTGATGGAGGACTTTACTGGTTGACAGATGAACCAAATCAACAAGCCATTAAAATGGGACTTTTTTTTTCTTGAGATAGTCCTAATAGTACCACAAAGTATAAAAAATATTTTTTAAAAAAAGGAAAAAAATTAAAAAAAGAAAAGAGAAACAAAAAGTTTATTTATAAACTTTCTGGTCATTGCCAAGATCATTATTCAAGAATATAAATTAGTTCTGAGGTATTTATAATATGGGCTGGGTACTGAAAAACAGAAAACTACACACGTGTATGAGTCAGCGGTTCATCTTTTTCTAGTGACCATCTCATGAAGATCAATCGGCATTTAGAACAGTTGTATGTTACTCATAAAATAGCCAAGACACAGAGGACACTGCAGAAAACAATGGTCAGCAACACACGCTCCCAGGGCCTCGGAGCTCAGGGGTCAGAGGGGCTTTGAGAAAACCTGTTTGCCACGGGCCTAGCTAAGTGTTAGCATCCTGGACTTCCATATGGAAAACAATCAGTGTCACCCCTAGGATATCATTGACTTCACTAATTCTGAAGAGACTTAACGGAATTCTGTAACACAAGCACTACCAATGTGACAGTTTGTATATATTTTAAAAAGCTGTAATAATTCAAACCAATTCAGTCGAAGAAAGAAAAAGACTTAGTTAGCTGAAGAAAATACGCTCAACACTAGCGAGGACTGTACTGAAGAGAACATTTTATGACGCCATGGATCTCGGTTTATACAGTGCACAGCTGACGGCTGGTTCTCAGGCCTGTGTTATGTCACAGGATGCCCTTGTTCTGAGTGGGTGTCTTTGTCGCGGTGGGAAACACTGGGGAGCCTTACACCCCAAGAGGCTGTTGGCTGCCTTCCTGCTGGCTTCCGGAACAGTTTTCCGACACGTGGGATTGCGGTTAGACCTCACGAACGTCACTCCAGTCTGTCACAGTCACTAGGCTGCTTTTCAGCATGCTTGCTTCGTTTTCCTGAAGTCCTAGGGAAGCAGGAGGAAGAGAGGGGACTTGTGGTTAAATGAGGACATGTCCAACCCCCTGACACCGGACAGTCTTTCCTCACTCAGGGTCTGAGTCCTCGGCGAGCTTGTCCCTGAGTCCCTACAGGCTTTGGCACAGGCTGGCAGAAAACCCACCTACTAGTTGGCCACACTCACATCTCACGGGACATGCGTCGTGACCACCCATTCTGAGATACACTGCCCACTCCCAGGCAGCAAGGCCTGCATACCGTGTCCTGCTTCTTGTCCTGGCACTCAGCACAATGCCTGGATATTGGGTGTTTTTAACTATGGGAAAACAGAAACTGTGCAAGGTAGAACCATAAAATCCCACACTTCAATGTGAATCTCTAGTTTATTACTTAGGGGCAAGTGTTGCACATAGACTTTGCTGGGGTAGAAGAACTTCAATTTGAAGTTAATTAAGAGCTGTGATTCTGAGCTGTGGAAACAGCATGCTGTGGAGAACTCCACTCTAGTTTGACTCCAGAATGCTCTCTGAGGAATGCAGGGTCCTGGCACCGAAGTGTCCTCTCGGCCGACCCCTGCAGGGCACTGTGTCTCAAAAACTGCCTTGGTTTTTAACTGGAGTGGATCTTTAGTGGAGATAACTTCACAACGGCAATGTTACAGCCATGTTATCAAGTGACAGTGTGACACGCTGGAAGGAAGAAAAGGGACGACGTTGGGAATGCTCAAAGTGGGGACCAGGGACGTGATGATGACAGGAGACATGACTATGGAATCTATAGGCATTGACAGAAAATTACAAACAAGGGCACCAACTTCACACAGGGAACACAGCGGTGTGGGGGGGTCATGACCCCCCCCCCCTTAGCAGGACATCTATAGCTAATATCTGAAGCTGCTCAATCAAGAAGCAGGCTGAGTCCACCAGTGAGAGCGATGGGAATGGCTCATCAGATCCCACGGGTGGAGAGGAGGATCAGCGGAGGAGCCTTCTGGACACCTTCGCTCTTACCAGGTACAAGGATTAGTCTGATTTTACGTACACAAATTAAATTACAGCAGGTCATGGTGGTGTGACCAGTATTTCCCAGTGAAGATATCCCGAAGAGACACTTGTGTCATTCAATATGACTACCAGACTGTTGAAACAATGGACTTCAAAGAGCTGAGCCTTTCCCTGGGAATCTCATGGTTGGAGGAGGAAAAGGCCACACCCCAGGAGACGCTCCACAGTTCTTATACCTGTCAGACCACCTCACTGGACAAGACTAAATCCCAGGCAACGATGGGTCAGTGTGGATAGGACCGTGTCTCAACCACCTGCTCAGGTAGGTATGTTCTTGGCACTCTATTTAAATTTTGACTTGCTGTGTGTGAGAAGGCTTCCTCACTGTATCTCTGTCAGTGTTCCCAATGCAGCCACATTGAATAAATCTACTTTTTCTGTTTCCCACTTTCAAAATGGTTTTAAAATATTTATTTATTTATTTATTTATTTATTATTACGTATACAGTGTTCCGCCTGTATGTCAGAAGAGGGCCCGTATCTTATTATAGATGGCTGTGAGCCACCAAGTGGTTGCTGGGATTTGAACTCAGGACCTCTAGAAGAGAAGCCAGTGTTCTTAATCTGTAAGCCAGAATCTCACTTGGGGCACAGGTCGTGACCACCCCAAAACTGACCGCAGTGGCACAGCTGTGATCTTGGTACTCACGATGCTCTTGTGGGGGCTGCAAGCTCAAGGCCAGCCCTGGGCTATACAGGGGCATAGTTGAGATCTTGTCTCAAAAAGTCAGACTAGTGAAATAAACAACACGTGGATACGTGAATTTAGACATTAGGCCTCCTGGGAGTTGCACTACTCTCTGGGAGTTACGCCCAGGCTCTCTGGTGAGCAGGAAGCACTCTAGATTACAATTTCACTTGTGATCCATCCCACCAAGTACAATGCTATAAGGAAAAAAACAAAAAACCCCTCCCTTGGAGGAAAACCACGAAAGGTACTTGATAGAAATTAAGGCGTACTGGAAGACTGCAAGAAGAATGTTCTCATCTAGGTGTGAGCTCAGAAACGCTCGAATTTCTGGGGTGTCTGAGTGAGGAGAATACATGCCTGGACACAAAATTACATTAAGATGTTCAGTGGAATGGTAGAGTAAAAATTAAAATTATTTTTACATAGATGAAGTTCTCAATATTCAGATCTAGCCTATAATGAAAAAATAACATCAAGATGTTGGTTATAACGATTGTGGCATTTGGTTTTGGCTTGGTTTAGTTTGGTTATTTTGGCTAGACAAGTGCTCTAGTACTGAGCTATGACCTAGGCCTCAACAATGCTTCCATATGATAGCATAAAAGTGTAACTAAAGCGGGTTTTATAAAGTGTAAACACTGTGGGACTGGAGCTAGCTCGACCCGCAGTGCTTGCCCATCAATCATGAGGACTTGAGTCTGCTCTCCAGAACTCACACTTTAAAAGGCCGTGAGTTAGGGCACACACTGTCTCCCCAGCCTTGGGGGAGCAAAGACAGGAAGAAGACGCCTGAGGCTCTCTGGCCGGCTAGCCAGTCTAGCCTGCTTGCTGAGTACCGGGCCAACAAGAGACCCTGACTCAAAACACGAGGCAGACAGTTTCTCAGGATCAGTACCAAGGCTGACTTCTGCCTCCACATGCCTGTACATGAGTGTGTACCCACAAGAACACACACTCCACAGAAACACAAGCCATCAACGTGTGAGGGTGAAAACTGCCAACCTTCTTCCTTGAGTTCCCGAGGGTTCACAGGGCCCCAGGCCCTCGGCACCTGACTGGAATTTACATCTCTCTTCCCAGGTGGAGGCTCCCTCTGTTCTATCTTCTTCCCCAAAGACTTTTCTTCCTCAAAGGATGAGACGTCCCAATCTTCGTCCTGTACATCTGCGCACTGGAAGAAACAGAGGAGAACTTGATTTCTTAAAGAAACGGCGCCCCTTGTTCACGCTGAGGTGCAGGCTGCGCAGAGCAGCTTGACACTGAGCCCGGATGGAGGTGGCTTTGCAGAGCCGTGAAGCGAATTTCAAAACCTGCACCTTGAAAGCTACAGAAATCACTTTTTTTTTTCATGCTGTGGCTCTTTTCTTAATCAATTATGAATTTAGGAAGCTCTAGACTACAGGGATGGTAGGGGGAGAACCTCTGAAGCCAGGGTGAGGAGGTCACCCTGGAGCCCCGCAGAAAGAGAGCCCCCCTAGAAGGATTACATTCCCACCTTTCCAAGGAGAGGCACGTCATCTTGAATGAGGCAGCATTTTGTTATCGTTTTGTTTTGTGTTCACACACACTCACACAAACTAATGAAGGAAGTTAGACAGGTGGCTGAGTCCCGTGGATGAACAGGAGATGGGCTGAGAAGAACAAACCAGTCTTGGGGGATAGTCTACACAGCAGCTGGCCTTCAGAGAAGCAACGGCCAAGCTCCATCAAACACTCTGGGGCAGGAAGCTCCAAAACCGTCCAGGCCTCTTCAACAATTCTGACTCCCAGGTGTGGCCAACGCCTAACAGTCCCTACTTTACCTCCAGGTGTCAGAAACCCCATGCGCTGCATGTGGAGGCTTCAAACTGCAGCTCCTCCCACTTCTGTGGTCAAAACATCTACTATCTGCACGTGTCAACCTACATGCGCCAGAGCTGTGAGAACATGTGATACACTGTGATACACAAATATTGTATCGTGGGTTGAACAGCCCTTATCTGAAATGCTTGGATGATGTTTCAAATTAGAAAGGCTTTGGGCTTGGGATTGTTTGCAGACATTTTATTGGGTTTGAACAGCTCTAATCTGAAAACTCCAAAGCAAATATGGTCCAAATCAGAAACCTTTTTGTAGTTGTTTTTTGTTTTTGTTTTCATGACAGAGTTTCTCTGCATAGCTCTGGCTGTTCTGGAACTTTTTGTGTAGAACAGGCTGGCTTCAAACTCAGAGATCCACCTGCCCTGGCTCCCACGTGCCGGGATTAAAGATGTGCACCACCACACCTGGCAGCTTTCTTGTGCGTCTGCCTGAGACTGAACCTAGGGCCTCTAGCTGGCTCAACTGAGCTATATCCCAGAGAGAAAAATTTGAGAAATTTGGAGTTGATCCCAGTGTTTAAGAAGTTTAGCACTTCGGGACATTCCAGCTTTCGGGTTGTTCAGCCCGTACCTGCTTATCAGACAGCAGGATCCCCAGTGATGAAAATGCAACGCTGAAAACAAATCAAGCTCAAGCGCCACTTTTTTTCTCTATTAACTGATCACAACTGACTTCTATTTCACTACAAAATATATTTTCTAATTAATTCAGATTTAGCAAGAAGTTTCACCTTTAATTCTTGCAGTTCTTCCTTTTTGACAAGTGTTTCAGGAATATTCACTCCAGGAACTGGTTTACTCCCATTTCCTTGGTGTAAAACCATGTTCTCAACATTTTCAGTTTGTATCTTAATGGAGGTTCCTGCAGGAGCCACAAAACATAGTCAAGAAAAGCGTCTGAACACTCTGTCTATCCCCAGCCCCACAAGCCTACTGTCAGCGCTAAAGGAGTCTCAGCTTTACACACAATTACATGTCATTCAAATAAAATAACTGCTAGATTTTGAGATCGGGAAATAAGTGGGGTAGAGAGAGGATTGTTCAGGGGTTAAAAGCACTTGCTGTCCCTGCAGATACCCCGGCTCAGAGCCCACAGCACGAAGCTCACCACTCCCTGTAACTACAGTTCCAGAGAACTGAGGCTCTCTTCTGGCCTCCATGGGCATCTGAACACACGTGGCGCACACACCCACACATACCCATGTACACATATACACATAAAATTAATATATACACATAGACTTAACAGCTAAATATGTATAATTCCCTTAAAAAACAAAATCACAATTGCCCAGTCATGAAGCTACATAGTTTTCACTTAAAATCACAAGTGGGTGGTCTCATTCAAGTATGTGATAAAGGCTTTAATTCAATGGGTATTTTCTAAAATACTGTGTTACTTGTAAATGTCCTCATGATGGTTTCCAAAATTATATAATTACATAATTTGTAAAAGTTACATGTAAAATAATTAAACCTGTTATGTTTAAAATCTGTAATTTTGAAATTATACTAAAAAATTCTGCTTATAAGTACTATCCGTCGGCTTCACTTCCGTTGGCAACTCTTCAGAATGCTGTCAAAAGCCCAGGGCGTTAGACCAGCCTTTCTCAGTCACCCAACATTAATGCACTGAACTTTGTCCCCTCAAATTCATACACTGAGGCTCTCACCCTCACAGTCTTAGACGTGATCTGATGGTGGGAGCAACAGCACCTCGGAGTGGCAGAAGCAGGAGAGCGAGCTTCCTGGAGGCAGTCCACTCGTTTCGCACGGCTGACACAAATGGGTGCATCCCTGGTTTAGGCAGGCCCCAGGGATTCTGTCTCAAGACTGCTTACTGTTGCTACGCTGCCTTTCCGTGCTTGTCTTATACATCTGGCCTGGCAGAGACAGAGACACTCTATGCTTCTTGCCTCACTCTGCTGGGCAGACGTCCTGCACGTTGTTTCGAAGACATAGTGCTGTTTAAATGAATTGATGATTCCATAATCTCTGATGATGATTTAAAAGGATTTCTGACTTGCAAGTAATTTTAAAACCCTCCTGCAGTATAGCAAAAACTGCTAGGAACTCTGTGGACCTCCATATTTCCCTCTTGGTGTAAATCAAGAGGGAAAACAAGATGAAACAAATTAATGATCAAGGAAATACATTCAGTCTAGGTTTAGTCCAAGGATAAAGCCCAGGTGTACAACACTATAAAAAAGACCCTATGAATATGGAAACAGAGAGTAAATGGTTAGCTATACAACACAAGACAGACACCTGTTTCTGGGAAAAACTCTTGCTTTGAACTCAGGGGCTGGCTCTTTGATCATCTCCCCCTGAGTGGGGAGCAGCCTTACCAGGCCACAGAGGAAGACAATGCAGCCACTCCTGATGAGACCTGATAAGCTAGGGTCAGATGGAAGGGGAGGAGAACCTCCCCTATCAGTGGACTGGGGGAGGAGCATAGAAGAAGAGGGAGGGTGAGTTTGGGAGGGGATAGGGAACGGGGCTACAGCTGGGATACAAAGTGAATAAACTGTAATTAATTTAAAAATTAATTAATTAAAAAACCTCTTGCTTTGAACACATAATGTACATTTGCAATAAAAAAAGAACTTCTGATTTGAACTCATAATGAGCACATAGATAAAACCACTGCTGTAAATTTACAATAAACAAAGTTTCTAGTTAGAGATTGTTCTAAGGAAAGAACTTAGAATCAATAGTCCCAGTGTAAACTCCTTTAATGTAACAATTTTATCTATTCTGAATGGGGTAATTTTTTCCCATAAATAGAGAACCTTTCTATTAGATAATATAAAAACCCAAGACAGAGTTAAACATTTGTTGACCTAGACCCCTGCTTAGATGTAGCCAATGGGCAGCTCAGTCTCCATGGGGGTTCTCTACTAAGGGGAGCAGGGGCAGTCACTGGCATTAACTTGGTTGTCTGCTCTTTGATCATCTCCCCCTGGTGAGGTGGCCTAACTAGGCCACAGAGAAACAGGATCTAGACAGTCCTGATGAGACCTGATAGGCTAGGGTCAGATGGTAGGAGAGGAGGATCTTCCCTATCAGTGGACTGGGGGAGGGGCCTGGGGGAAGAGGGAAAGTGGGTGAGATAAGGGAGGGGCTACAGCTGGGATACAAAGTGAATAAATAACAACAACAACAACAACAACAACAACAACAATGAAAAGCATTTCTGGAAAGAAAAAAAAAGAATTGAGGAAGTTCAGAGTTTCTTGCCTCAAGCAGCGGCTGCCATCATTAGCCTGAAAGCTTGAGAGTTAACGTACAGAAAGAAACACTAGAAACAACCAGTCCCTAGCCGTGACAGGCCTAGAGCTACCTTGGACCGTGTTTCTCCTGACGCTGCTGTCCCACCTCAGCCACCCCTGGACCCTGTGGATGTAAACGCTTACTGTTTACAATATTAGTTGGGAGTAAAGAGGCAATTAAGTGACCGTGAGGTCATGAAGAGTGGTGCCATGGGGCTAGGGAGATGGCTAGTCAGTGCAATGCTTGCACACAGCATAAAAACCCGAACTCAGTCCCCAGCACCCGCACAGAAGCCAGGTATGCTGGCCATGTGCTTCAAGTTGCAGTGCAGACAGTGCAGGGCAGATGAGGACAAGGGCATCCTTGGAGCTCAACAGACAGCTAGACCTGCCAAATCAGTGAGTGCTCGGTTCAGTAAGAGACCCTGTCTCAAAAAATCAAGACATTTAACGTCAACCTCGGTCCTTCATACATGTGTATACACGTGTGTATGCGACTACACACATGCGCACATGCATAAACATACCACACACACACTCTCACATAATTAAAAAAGGGTGGTCCATGATCAGTCGGAACAGTCATTGGAAAAACTGGAAACCAGGCTTGACGTGAACTCAGGGGGAAGAAGATACGGAAGAAGAGAGGAGAGCCACCCCTAGAGAAACAGAACTCAGTATCTCTTATAAGGAAATGACCTTGCCAACACTTTGAATGCTTCACTGAGCCTACAGAATACTGACACTAAATTTCTGTTGTTTAAGTCGCTTGGCTTATAGTATTTTTGTTGTAGCAGCTGTAGGAAACCCATACACTCAGGCATCCCCAAGTGGCTCTTCCCCTTCTACTTGAAGATGGCTGCGTCTCCAGCAGTGACTTTGGGATGAGCTCCATGCTACTCACATACAACCCCAGCTCAGATGCCCAGTGCCTGGTGTCCTGGGTGGGGGCCCAGGTCCTGAATACACCACAGGAGAGCTTTCAGGGCTCAGCGCTCACCTGTGGGCTTCGGAGAAGTGTCGGAGTCCGCCAGTTCACTCCCCTCCGTCCAGTCTGTGTCACTCTTGACAGAGCTCTTCCCGAAGTTGCTCATGCTGCTTCTAGAGGGGTGGGTGCTGAGTAACTCTGGGGATATGTATGCCTGGATGAAGTCTTCTTCCTCCTCCTCTCCTGAGCTGAAGGGAGGCGTCCTGCACAAGCCAGAATCGCAATGCGTGTGGAGGCACCATCTGCTCCATTCGGAACTTACTAACCTCGAGTCCTTTTTCCACCTTTTTAAAAACTAGTTCGTTAATTTACCATGCAGTGGGCTGTATTTTGGAATTTTCATACACACTTTGTTTTTGCTTTTCTTTCTCCACTCTTCTCCCTCAATCTCCTGCTCCCCTCCCTTCCTGCACTAGACCTCTACTGCTTTCACGTCCTATTTTTATTCCTCTTCTTTTCTCTTTCTGCAACATTTCTTGCTTGACAACTCTTTTTCCCATTCATGGTTTCTTCTCTAGTTTTATGACTGATACATCTGCCCACCCATAATACATGTACAACTACATACATAAACATTAAAACCCAGGATCTGCACATGAGAGAAAACAGTCAGCATTTGTCTTTATGTGTATGGAATATTTTGTTTAACAGTAATTTCTAGTTCTAACCATTTTCCTGACTAAAACTCCATCGGGTACATGGAGCACATTTTCCTTTGCCATTCGTCTCTCGATAGACACTTCATAGCGATGTCTAACAGTGAAGAAAGAAACATGGATATGTGCCTATCCCTATGCGGTGGGCTCAGAGTCCTCTCGGTGTGCCCGGAAGTTGGGTAGCTGGGCCATGTGAAAGTTCTAATTTTAGTTTCTTGAGAATTGCCCTGTCGATTTCACGGAGTTGCCTTTAAAGTACTATAGATGACCTTAGGTAATTCCTACAAAGTACAATGTTGAGAATCCGCCTGTACCTACAGACAAGGAGGCAGTGAAGCCAGAGCCATAGGCAAGACTGGGGGTCACTCTATACACAGATCTGCCAATTGTGAGGCAGAGCAGTTAAATGGAGTGAAGCTCCCCCAAACCCAGACACTGTGCAGTCTCAACCCCCAAACCCAGATGGCCACAGTCTCAATGCTGTTAGCTCTTAAATGCCTAAGGAGAACACCTCTCATCGAAGGAGGACATTTCTGGACTCTTGCTACTTGATGTTTGAAAACGTCGTCACTTCTGACTCACGGATGGCCCCCCCTACTTGAAGGTGAAATGCAAGCTCAGAGCAGTGTTTGTCCATCAGAAGAGTATTTTGAGAAAGCCTGAATTCCGCACACCACGTCTACCTGTGCACCCCAGACTTCAGGGTAAGGCCTTGTTGAAGAAACAAACCGACACCAAAAAGGATTTGTAAAAAAGAAAGCACTGTTACATATTACAGAATCTTTTTCTTAAATTGGCTCAAAACAGGCACCAGCTGAGTATCAGCTATGTGTCAACAAAGATTTTTATCATCAGACAGACCCCAAGAAAAGCCAGTGTAGAGTTCTCATCAGGCATTACAAGAAGCTGGAATACCCAAATACTACCTGACACCTATGTGACCATGGACCCAGCCGACAAAACACCAGCCATTCTATTTAAATGTGCTCAGGAAAAAAATTACACCAGAGCCGGGCACAGTGGTGCAGGCCTGTAATCCCAGCACTCCGGAGGCAGAGGCAGGAAGATCTCTGTGAGTTTGAGGCCAACCTGCTCTACAAAGTGAGTCCAGGACAACCAAGGCTACACAGGGAAACCCTGTCTCAAAAAACAAAACAAAACAAACAAAAAATAAAGGCTATACAAGAATGACTCAGGGGTAGTCCTTTTTCTTAACGGATGCCATAATGTGGCGAAAAGCTAGTGGGTGACACAGTAGCTGATGGAGGCATGTCACAAATAATATACCAAAGAGGACTCGCAAAGCAACCATGATGAATAATCCCTGTGGCTTTACTTAATCACAGTGAACCCCTAATTCACCATGACAGCAACGCTCAGAATTTTATATCCCCTCCACTCAGCTCTGGCACTTCTCCTAGTACTCACCTGGTAGACGAAAAATTTCTGAGAAAATGATTTTCTTTGGTATTTTTCTTAAGACTAAATAAAATAAAATAAAATAAAAATTAGAGGAAGACAGAAAATATTTCTAAAGCAAAGAAGTAAATAATATAGCTTACACGAATGTCTATGGAAAAACACAGAAATCTCTGGCTACCCACCAGAAACCATGAGGAAGCTGTGACTGTGAGTCACCGCTGCAGACTCAACGTTTGCAACCTACTCTACTAGACCTGTGATGCGCTGCCACCCGAGGCCAGACTTTGGAAAGTAACTGGACTAACTGGAGGCAGAGGATTGGGTCCCCATGGTGGGAATACTGCCTGGTGTGGCTAGAATGAAAATGGCCCCCACAAGCTCAGCCCCACTGGGGGACCTGTTGAGAGGTGTGGCCTTGTTGGAGGAGGAATGTCCCTGGAGGCAGGCAGTGAGGTTTAAGACCCCCCCCCCCTCAGCTGGCTTTCTCTGCCTTGTGCTTGTGGCCTGAGATGTGAGCTCTCAGGACTGCTATGCAGCCACTATGGCCTTTGACTCTAAACCTCTGGAACCCTGAGCCCCAAATTAAAGGCTTTCTTTCGTAAGTTGCTCCAGATGTAGTGTTTTGTCATGACAACTGAGAAGTAACCAAGACACCACCCCCTTTAAAAGAGGGAGAGACAGCTTGTTTGCTGTGTGAGGACATGAGACAACAGCCCTGGCAACAGCCTTGACCTCTGACACCCTGATACTGAGCTTCCAGCCTCCAGAACAAATTCCTGTCGTTTCACTCACCTAGTCCGTGATGTCTTACTACAACAACTGCAGGTGGCTCAGACAAACAATCTTTTTTCTTTTTTCACAGTTGAGAATACTCACTTTGGGACAGCCACCTTATCAGCAAACACACTTCTCTGTCTGACCAACGGTCTGCTTTTGGGGGGAATCTGGGTTGCCTTGGGTACTTCTTCGGCTGGAAAGGTGCTCATGGGAGGGGCATCATGCCTATCTGGAAGAAAAGTATCAGTCATGAGTCTTCACTGCCTTCATGGTAAAGTGAAAAGCCAAACTGAATAATGTGACACTATCCACGCTGAGAGTGAAGAGAACACGGCTTGCCTCTCAGGTCTGGAGTCCAGACTAAGGACTTCATTACTCTTGTTTGCTTGTTCTTGATTTTTTTTTTCTTTTTGAGATAGGTCTCTTGCAGCCCAGAGATTATATATATATATAATCTGCTATATATCCAAGAATGACTGAACTCCTGGTGCGCTTGCCCTCACACCCTGAGTGCCAGGATTATGGGCACAGGCATAGCCCAGCATTTCAAGTTCAGGCAGTAAGATCGTTGCAAGTGCCAAGTCTGCAGGCATTTGAAACTCACACAAAGGTCGGTGAACGTAGCTCTTTCCTGCAGCAGTGAACTGCAGGTGGTGGCAGCGCCTTACCTGAAGGCACCGACAGCTTCTCCTCGACTTTACAGGTGAGCTGATGCTCGAGGGACTCTCGAATCTGCTGCATGTGCGGCATCTGCCTGGCTCGATCGTGTCTGGCCAACTGCATGGCTTTCAGCGATCTATTGAGGATATCACATGGGATCCCGTGGATATCCTGAAGGAATGAGATCCTGTGTCACATTGTGATCGTTATCCTTGGACGGTTTTCATTCGCAGATCCGTGTCAGCATTAACTCTGTTCTTCCGGGGACCAGGTCATTTAAGGGAAGGGATGGGGGTTCCCCACCATACAGCACTTCTTCTGGTTCCAAAAGGAGCTTGCAGTGCAGGTGTGCCTCCTTAGGACACACCCATCACACCAACAGTGCAAAGCTGTATGATGCTAGAGGAATTCCAAGAGCAGCCACCAGAGGCCCTAGTCTCCAGAGAAGGCTGGAGCAGGGACTGAGCTGCGCTCTAATGAGAGGCGGAAAAAAAAAAAAAAGTGGAAACAAGAAGTAATTTCTAGATGGTCAGGCACTGGGGATACCTTGTGTGAAAGACAGGAGATTAAAATAGAAAACAGCTAGAACGTGTCCCACAGGCTAATCCCATAGACCTGGGTGACAAAACAGAGTGAAAGCTGATGACAAGCTGGACAGCTCAGTGGTCAGAGGGGAGAGAGTCAGCAGAGGTGACTTCCCTTATGAACCTACAATTAAAGAGGTGATTCCCAGGCCCTCTGGCTCTGATGGGAATCTCATCAGAAGAAATGGTACTTAAAGGGCTAGTGATTAACTGTGCTCACACATGAGCACATCATCCCCATTCTCCCTCCCCTCCCCCTCTCTTCTGGGTTCTCCATCCTAGGGGCGGCCTCACCACCCCACAGTGTAGCCCGGGAAGAAGTCTCTGCCATCAGGTAAGTGCCGCGTCCGTGCCGAGTTTCCTCTGCTCTCAGTCACTCACCCGATCTGCCCAGCCTCTCCTCATCACTTAAGGGGATCAAAGATGTCTATACCTTTCTGTGATCATTTTAACGTCTGTCTTTCTACACCTGGCAGATAGATGGAAGGGTCTAATATCTCACAGCTGTCAGTCTTCCTAATCTCAAACAGTTTCCACCAGAATCCCAACAATGACGGTTATCTAGAAGTGGGGTGCTTTTCCAGAGCTCAACAGGAAGGAAGAAATGGGAGAACTGGCAGAGTGTCTGCAGAGTTAGACTGGGAACGCAGGGCCACAGAGGACCGGAGAGCGTGCGGCCCCTGCAAGGGAAGCAGTGTGAAACGGGCCAACGAATAAACACAGTCACTGAGGACACAAAGCACAAACAATGCTCGCAGGGGCTTTCCACGAAATAGAGGCCTTATTTCAAAGGAATGGGAAAGGGAGCCACACAGGCGATGATATCAGGACAACTGCTTCAATTAGGAACAAAGTTAACCTTTTCTAGTTCTGCGCACACACACATTGAATCAGGAAACTAACAAGCCAAAATGTCTCCAAGCACTGGGAGAAAAACCATAGATGAAGCTCCATTAAAATCAAAACCCAAAATTTTCTCAAGTACACAAGGACATTTGCTCAACCATGTTTGTAGCAGCTTTATTTGTAATAGCCAGAACCTGGAAACAACCCAGATGTCCCTCAACAGAGGAATGGATACAGAAATTGTGGTACTTTTACACAACGGAATACTACTCAGCAATCAAAATGAGGAAATCATGAAATTTGCAGGCAAATGGTGGGATCTAGAAAAGATCGTTCTGAGTGAAGTATCCCAGAAGGAGAAAGACAAACATAGAATATACCCGCTTATATAGACCTATAAAATATGATAAACATAATGAAATCTACACACCTAAAGAAGATAAACAAGAAAGCAGACACGGGGTAAGATGATCAATCCTCACTTAGAAAGACAAATGGGATGTGCATTGGATGTATGACAAGAGTCTACCGCAGAAGGCCTCTGAAAGACTCTACCTAGCAGTGTTTCGAAGCAGATACTAAGACTCATATCATAACCAAACCTTCAGCAGAGTGCAGGGAATCATATGAAAGAAGGGAAGTTAGTATGACGTGGAAAGGATAGGAGCTCCCCAAGGACCAAATACATCTGGGCACAGGGGTCTTTTCTGAGACTGACACTCCACCAAGGACTATATGGATATAACCTAGAACCTTTGCTTGGATGTAGCCCATGGTAGCTCAGTAACCAATTGGTTTCCCATAGTAAGGGTAACAAGGACTATTTCTGACAGGAACTCAATGGCAGGCTCTTTGACCTTCCCACCCCACAAGGGAGGAGCAGTCCTGTTAGGCCACAGAGGAGGACTTTGCAACCAGTCCTGAAGATACCTGATAAAACAGGGTCAGATGAAAGGGGAGGAGGTCCTCCCCAGTCAGTGGACTTGGAAAGGGGCAGGGAGGAGATGAGGGAGGGAGTATGGGAATGGGAGAGAATAAGGGAGCGGGATACAGCTGGGACACAGAGTTAATAAAATGTAACTAACAATAAAAAAAAAGAAGAAAGAAAAAAATCAAAACCGAGAAAACTAATGGAAACAGCAAATACAAAAGTCTACTGGAGCAGAAAACAGTTGTGACACACAGAGAGACAGACAGACAGACAGACAGGAGCATCGTCAACAGAAGGGATGGGTGCAGACCACACAGCACATGAGTAACTCACGTGGCCCAGAACCACGCAAAATTCAGTCACAACACCTGTTACCTCTCCCGAGAGCAGCTGCGGACACGGGCAAGGAAGAGGGAAAGGGGACCTCTTAGGGTACCAGAAATGTGCAATGTTATCATCTGAGTGGTGGTTACAGGCCTCACACACAAACCCACCCATGCAGCTATCAACACACACACACATATAAACATATACATGCATGTACGTATACATACACACATATACAACATGAAATACACAATATATCTATATGTTTACTCAAATATGTGTCTATACACGTGCATGTATGAACATTTAGCTGGGTACAAATGTATGTATGTACATCAATATACATCTATATCCACACACATGTCTACACACACACCTGGACACACAGATACGTACATACGAATTCAAACACATCTATCTACATTTACTACACTCCTCCATCAAGCATAAGCATGCATATGGTATAATGTATATTCACGCATACAAATATATGCTCGTGTGTGTGTTTACATACATATGCATGTAATACATATGTACATTCATATAGAGCTACGGAAGTACTCATGCACACAAATTCATCAAATTGTTAGAATTCATACACTTAGTGTATGCTAATAAGGAATTTAAAAAGTGAAGGGGTTTATGTGTAAGATGCGGTACTGAGACTATTCAACCTACTTCAGCTCCCATTCATTCAGCATTTACTAAGTGCTGATTCTGTAATGAGCATGGTATGACTCGAACATCAGACCATTTCAACCCATTATAACCACCCAGACACACACTCTGGCTCCTTCACCACTCCCCGTGAAACCTAGTCCAGTTACCTCACCTTTACATAGAACAGAAGGAACAATGCCATCTGTTCCGAGTCTCATCTCCCTGCTTAGAAGTTCCTGTTTGTTAAGGTCAGGCACTAACGAAGGCACCAGAGTTCTGATAACTGCGTCTCACTAGCGTCTAGTCTCTACCTGAGGACGGGTTAAGCGTCTTCTCTTCTCCCATGTGCCTGATTTAGAAGATGGAACCTAGAGCAAAAGTTCAGAAAGTGAACGGACGTACCGCATTAATCCCAAAGCTGCGAAGTTTATTCCCCAGCTCCTTCTCCAAGTTCGTCCTCAGGTCCCTAGGGGAGAGGCTGGTCTTCGAAGTTTTCCTTAAATGCGTCTTCTTATTTGACTTCTGTTCATTTTCTCGTCCTGAAACACAGTTTTATTAAAAAGCAGATTTAGAGAGAATTACACAAATTCATTCCAAGCCGAAAATGATAACACATATCTTTAACACAGAAAGTAAACGTTTGTAAAGATTTTAAGGCCTTGGATGTTTTATAATGCCTAGGTTTCTTGACTTCTTAAGTCTGCCTCAGACCTTTAGTGACTTCTAAGACTCCTGAGTAGTTAATCAAGTTAAGAAATAGATATAATATATATCTCCTTAATGTTTAATGTTTTATCAGGGGTGTATTTCCCCAAAATGTTCATCTTCAAGCCCAGTTAGAATTTATCTTATGGAGAGAAAAATCCAATTTATTTAAATTTCATTTAAGTTTTAAGTAGATAAATTTAGTAAATGCTAAGTGAACAATAACACTTAGTTATTGTTTTCATTCTTCATGGTCATTACCAAAACTACGAACAGGCTCCACAGACATGGTGCTATCAATGAAACTAGCAAATCAAAGGTTAGGGATAACTTGAAAAGATGCATGAAAACAAACCTCATTAAAAAATATTTTTAAAAGTGCCAATGATTAACATAGCAGCATCAGGACTTGCAAGTAAATATCACGCAGATGTTGTGAACAGGACTGGCTTAGTCAATTTTCAATTTGTATAGTTTATAAAAATAAGAAAAACTGGCAAGATCCTAGCAACCACAGGAGCTACAAGAACTGCTAAAATTTCACATGTGCAGGCTGAAGAGACAGCTCACCAGCTGTGAGCATGCATCGTTCTTCCAAAGGCTCCGAGTTCAGATGCCGGCAGGCACCCATGTCAGACAGCCTCCTACTGCTTGTCGCTCTCCCTCCACGGGAATCCAGTGCACTCTCCCGGCCTCTCTCTGCAAGCGCTGTGCTCACACACACTCCCACATACATACATATACAATTACAAATACAAAAACGGAAGTTTCTGAAATTTATATACTGGAGTACTTATTGTTTAACTTCTTTTTGTGAAGAAGTGGTTAAGAATGGAGCACTCATATTTATTATCAAAAAGCTTCCCCGTTAAGAAGTGATAAATGGTAAAACATTATTATCGATAAGGAAAAAATATAAGGAACTGATTGAAGCATGTTTTCAGAATCTATGTTTAACATTAGAAAACACTACTTATAAAACTGAGTGTCCCAGCACTCGGGAGGCAGAGGCAGAGACAGGCAGATCTCTATGAGCTCAAGGCCAGCCTGATCTAGTTTCAGGACAGCCAGGACCACACAGAGAAACCCTGTCTTGAAAATAACAAAAGAAAAGAACAAAACAAGACAAAACCCCCCAAGAAGCCCGAGTGCAGCGGCAGACACCTGCAGCCAACACACTAGGGGGGGGCGGGGACAGGCCCAGGCTTCCAGCACAGCTGGGCTACGCCAAGTCCTGCCTCAAAAACACGGTTTTTAAGAAGAAAGCATAATTACACGATTTTCCACAAACTTCAAAACCAGGTAACTTTCAGAAACGCCAAAGGGAATACACACGCAGTAACAACCTACCGCGTGCGTCCCTTCCCTGTCCCGCCCACTGCATGCCTCCTGTGCTCTTTTCTGACATTAAGAGTAGTTTGGAGCCAGGCACGGCGGTACATGCCTGTGATCCCAGCACGTGGGAGGCAGAGGGAGATGGATCTCTGAGTTCAAGGCCAGCCTGGTCTATAGAGTCCAGGACAGCCCAGGCTACACAGAGAAACCCTGTCTCAAAACAAACAGCAAAGACTAATTTGGGGATCGGAGCTATGGTTCGCTTGCCTAGCATGTACGTGACCCTGAGCTCAAGCCCCAACGCTGGAAAAAACAGTACTTTGGAGATGGACACTTTGCTCATCCGTTTCAGAGTAGCACTGAGAAACCACTCTGACACAGAGTTTCACGTCATCTGGTATTAATGTGGCTTTGTCATCTGGTCAGAAAGTATCTGTATTGAAATAAAGGATTTTTGTTTTTACATTTCCCAACATAGAACATTTCTTATTAATGTTCCTCCATAAAAATACAACAAAGCAGAGGCTTTAGGAACTTTAGGAGAACAAGGTAACAAAATCCTGTAGATCACACTGGTCAAAAACACAATCCAAACCTGAATGTCTTCCTTGCTCTCGGTACGGCATGCTACACACCGCGGACTCGTGCTTTCCAGGTCTAAACTAGTAAATAAGCGAACGCCGACACTGAGTTACCTTTTTCCTCCTCTGAAGAAAGTTCTTCTATTGGTTCCAGTATGTGTGATGGGAATACTGCTGGCTCTGTTAATGAGTAATACAAACACGTTTGTCTCCTTCCAGGTAATGTACGCATACATACATAACAACATACAAACTACTTTATAGACATATCCACGACACATTTGGCCTAAATAGCAAAGATCTACTGGGAAAACATTGAGGAAGTCACTTTTGATTTTAAAGGTAGCATCGCATGTAGCTGAACTAGGCTTATACTATCTACACAGCGAACAACAACCTTGAATCCTGATCCTGCCTCCACCCGCTAAATGCTTAGACTGCAAAGCATGAGCCACCATGCCTGGCTGGGCAGCTACAGCTGGTCACTTCTTCAGGAACTCTTCAATTTTTAGTTATTTTCTATTCACTTCAAGTATTTTAAAATTATGTATTTTAAATTTTCTCACTCATTAATCCCTTGCCTGACACATGGGGTATAACTTCAAAATTCTTTCCAATGAGTCATCTAGCTAAAATACCAGAATTAAAAAAAAAAATTCTAGATATTTAAAAAAAAATCCAGAATACCAGAAATAAATGGGATTATCCATATATAAAACATAAGTCAGGCCTTCCAAGAGGGATGTGTTAGACCCGGATAGCTCATACACATTTCTGGCCACCAGTCAAGATTTTTAACTGCTAGCTAGGTGACATGGGTCAAGATGAAGAACTAGCAAAACATGGGTGTGATGCAGGAGCAGATGAGGAGCAATACGGAGACCCTTTTATAGACATTCACATCCCCAGACTCTAGTTCTGTCCTGGAGAGCCCCAGGGTGAGGCTACAGGCTGGAGAAGAGCCGGGCTCCACAGCTAGGTGATGGGGAGAGAGCTGTCCCATCTTACTCTGGGTCATCAGTGGAGAAGAGGAAATGAGCTCTCTGTCTGCCAGGAGCTCAAGCAAACTGAGCCCCATCCTGAGAATGCTGGCTTGCAGGATACATGCCTCACCCTCATGTAGCTCAGAGGCCACAAGAGCACCCCCTCTTCCACCTGACACTCAACTTTTGCATTCAAGTGTTGTGCAGCATTTTCCTCTAAGATTGAAACATTCTATTGTGCAGGAAGAAAGGAGGAAGGCAAATAAAAAAGCTCCAGGAAGTTCCTGAAACTGGCCAGCCTCACTGGGCCCCTCCCTGCCAGGGTAAGCAATAAAAGCTGAGAGTCCCTCTCAGACAGAGTAAAGACTCTGGCAAACCTAGCAGCCACAGCAAAGTTAACTTTGAGACCAGACTGGCTGCCTGGGCGAAGCAGGAACCAAACAGAGTCACTTGAAGAGGTCACTCTCCAACCTGATAAGCTCCCTGTAGGCTGTGCACTGTGCTCCGGGCTCCCAGCCTTTGGGAGCTGTCACCCATTCTGGGGTGGGCCATGGTGATGTAACTGAATCATTTCTACTCCTATAAGTAACCCCACCAAAACACACTGGTTCACCAAGCTGGAGCTCGGTGATAGCTGTACTTTGATCTGTTGTGGGATCTGTGTCGGGTAAGGAGATATGTGTGTTGCATCTCCCCAGGAAGTGTTTTTTCACACAACAGATGAGCAATGGGTCAGCAGTTACGGAGCTCACCAGGCAGCCAGGCATGGGTCTCAGTCATTAGACATACCAGAGCTCCTACTCAGAGGGCCTGGCTTTTATTAAAGTGTGTCTTTAGCATGCTGATTTGGATGCATATGCAGCTGCATGAACAAATAAATTCACATATGTATGCATATACACGCTATATAGTCATACACATGCAACAGAGGCTCAGCGACAAATGGAAACAAAGTCTGTCCCTGAGGAATTTGCAATCTATAAAAATAACACTTGCAGTTATGTTACAAAGGAACAGATAAAATATGGTGGGATGGTTTGCCAGCCTTTGGCCATTAGTCATGGAGGTAACGCTCCTCTGATCCACCTCCCTAGGACTACAGACAATGACCACTGCTCCTGGGTTTAAAGTTTTTTTTCTGCAGAATCCTTTATTCCTAATGAGAAAACTTAAGAGCGGTGGGTGAGAAGTATCCTCTAAATTCGTATGTAAAATTCGACCACCTTAGAAGCAGAATTTACTGCCTATTCTGGTGTAGGTAAGCAAAGTCAAAAGCTAGGGAACCATTGTGGCTCCCGCTTCCATTCCACCCCCTCCGGACTCAACTGGCCACGCTGGCACAGGCAGTTCTCAGTGGATTCCGTGGAGTGGAGAGGGCACCTCTCCCTCTCCTTTACGGTCCATATCCCATTTCTGACAGACTGATGTGTGAGTACGGTTCCCTTGCTGTCTCTTGCCTCAGGGTAGACGATGCTAGAGGGCCCATCAGCTTTGCAGCAGGACCTCTAGGGCCTGCCCTGAGCTGTGTGAGCTCAGCATCCCTTCTCCCTGAGCCCACCTTCCTTATACCAGGCACCCAAGCTTCTAGTCTACACCTCAGGATGTGTCCCAGAGAGCCCGGGCCAAGACAGCAAATCACAGGGTAAAGGGACGAACTGATGTGGTATAACACATGAGTGATGTTTCCATGTCGTCACCACACTCGTGGCTAAGGGGACCACCAGTGTTAGCAGAGGACATCAGCGGCCACTGGCCAAGTCCCCTCCTATCTCTTGCTCACTGCGACCAGATCTGGGTGTGGGCCTCTTGCCAGGGCTTGCTAGTATTTTAAACCAGCATTTCATCTTAGAGGATACCAGGAAGGAGCCATGGTGGTTTCACAAGGCGAGTTCCATCCTCAGAACTTGTGAAGACAGGAGAAAACACCTCACAAAGTCACCTTTGATGCACGCCAGCCTCCCACCCCCATCTCATGCACACACGATAATAATAAAAAATAAAAATATTTAAATAAGAAACTGTGCTCTCATATACTATTGTCCAGAAGGCTAGCAACAGAGAAAAGGAAGCAAGTTCAAAGGTCTATTGCCAGAGAGCAGAAGGCAGGCTTGAAAGTCAGCATGAAAAATACAATTTGGATCTCTGGTCTGCCTCCTGCAGGACTGGGATCACCTCTTCAGGGAGACAGCTTGTGAAGAGAAATCCCCTGGTTAAGAGGACTGACTGCCCAGCCTGGGTGCAGAGCTGACATTCCAGCACAGTCCTGGCCAAGGGGCCACCCCCAGGAAGGTCAGGCCCGCTTTAAGCCATGCCAGTGAGACAGAAGGAATAACAGACTCCCTTTACAGGGGGCTAACTCAGTCTCACTGAGTCAGCTCTTGCTAACACCCCTCCTTACTGCAATTTCTTATTTCAGTATAGGACAGAAAACGAATTTGAGGAAAATAATGTTTAAAAAGAAGAGAGATTTGTAAGAAACAATAAACAGAAACCTTTTCTATCAGATACTAAAAAAATTGTGCTTATGACAAGGAATTCAAATCTTTTTTTCCTCCCTCACCATGTCAGACTTTTATGCAAATATTTTGATCCCCACCCCCCACCAATAAAACTTTGTTTACACAAAGGCCCCGTTGCATTCTGGGATTAAAGTGACTGACCCCTTCTCTCTTCATTTCCTGCATGTCATTTAAGACCAGCCAATCAAATAAGACTGTGAGGGGTCCCACCAATGGGGAACAAGACACCTTGACCACCTAAGGTGGAATAAACTTCCTGACTGTGTTCCGCTTTTCTGAGTGTACCCTCTTGATGGAGTCAAGTTTTGTCTTGTCCAAATACTAAATATTCATACATTATGCATAGAGTTGAGATAATTTTCTTGTATGTTCACTACTGAGACAAATTTGTTTAAGTTGGATATACATTTTATCTATTGTTAGTCTGAATGAGAAAAAGATCCTGTGGGTTTTAAACTACCATAAATAATAAAATCCAGCACGTAGATTTCATGCTGTGATTGATTAAAGGATCATTGCCAAAGACTGTCATGCAAAGATTACAATATTTATGGTGACAAAAAGCCTCGTTTAGTTCCATCAGAGACCTAAGTAAGCTTACTCCTTTGTTTGTTTGAAGCAGAGGCATCCCATGTAGCCCTGGCTAGCCTACAACTTGCTCAGTAGACCAGGCTGGCCCTGAATTTGCAGTGCCCCTCGTGATTCTGCCTCCAAAGGTGGGGTATCAGACATGCACCGCCAACAATGAAGGAACACACAAGTTCCTTCCTGACTGTGTGTGTATGCATGTGTGTTAAGCGCCATGGCGTGCATTGGAGGTCAGAGGAGAGTCTTAGGTGTCAGTCCTCGTCTCCCATCTTGTTTTCACACAGTCCCTTGGTACTGCTTTGTGTGCTGGACTGCTGGCCAGAGTGTTCCCGGTGGACTCTTGTCTTTCTCCCTTTTCTCCTCGATAGCACTGGGATGACAGGTGTGTGTTCCCTGTTCCCACATCCTATTCGCACACGTTTGAGTCAAGTGCTTTATCTACTGAGCTGTCTCAGCTACTACCCAGCCCACGCCTATACTTCTAAAGGGTTGAAACCTAAAGAGGAAGACAGTAATTGTTAGACTCTAAACCAGTGGGAGATGAGACAGGAAAAAGTAGTCCTCCCTCCTGCCTTGACTCCTTCATAACGCACAGCAGCCACGGGAAAACACATAAGGAGCAGAGGACAAAAAATGGAAGAACCCCAATTCAGTAAGAAGAGAAATGCAGCTGCGAGTATCACCCATCTACCAGAGCATGATCCTGGTACCTCCCACCTGCTGTCCTGCCTGAGGACCAATTTCTGGCAGCGATTTCATCCTGACCCAGTTTGTGGCCTCTGGTTTCTATCTTTTTTCTACATTTTCCTGACCAATCATTGAGATTGTTTACTTAAAACAGGTGAGTTGCTGCCACCCTGAAAGTTATAAAAACAAGCACATATGCCCTGTGGCATGAGCTGGTCTAGCAGCCAGGCACCTCATTCTTCCTCTGGACCTACCACCTCCTTCAAAGATTGTAAATAAGTGAAATACCGAAGTTAAAGCTGCTGTCAGGAAGCCCAACACCACAACACACACACATGCTGCATGCTTTATGGCTTTGGCAGTACGTTCCGTTTTCAGTCATGTTATCTGTGAAGGCACGATTTAATGACTGCTTTGCAGTTACTAAAGAGTTTCCTGTTTTATATAATCGCACGCCTGCTGGCACTCTGGGTTAATGAATTGTCTAACTCAGGGTGAAACATGGAGACTGTTGGCGAGACCTACCATTTGCCATGGGCAGGCTGGATGGTACATCCAGAGGCCGTGTGGCTGGGGCATTCGCTGAAACAGAACAGAAGGAAAAGCTCACTGGCCCTGTCACTGCAGCTTGGGTGTCTGACTGAGCATGACCACACACCCTCCAAAATGACACAGACAGCCCACGGGAAGCACATGCCTTGAACAAAAGACGCTAGCCAGGTGGCCTGGTCTAATTTGATTAAGTTTTGAGAGAGAATTCTTTTGAGGTGCCAGGGAGAAAAGCCAGGGCCTTGTGCATGCTAGTGCAGCACTGAGCCACGTCCTCAAGTTTTAAAAACAACTCTTTTGAGAAAAATCACTTAAATGTTGTGGTTGCACACGCATGCGTGTGTGCCTTTTAGTATGTTCACAGCACTGTACGACCACAACCACTAGGAGTCTAGAACACTTTGATGACTCTCCCTCCAAATGCTCACACTCATTAGCGGTTATGGCTCCTTCTCTTCAGCCTCTGGCAACTATTTCTGTCCTGTGATTTGTGTGCCTGTGACTTGACTGAAACATTTCACACACAGAGAACTACCAAGCTATGTTCTGGTTTCTTTCAGTTAGCATGTTTTCACTGTATAGTAGGTTACCAGCATTGTTTTTATGGTCAAGTAACATCCCAGTGTTTAACTAGACCCCAATTGTCTATCTAATACATGACTTGGACATTTAAGTTTGCCTCTATTTTGGAAGAAAGCTTCAATGAGTTCTGGAAAATATCACAAGAATAAAGCTAGATGTGAAGGCATTATTTTTTCTCTTTTTAAAAATTAATTTATCTATTTATTACAATTTATTCACTTTGTATCCCAGGTGTAGCCCCCTCTCTCGTTTCCTCTCAATCCCACCCTCCCTCCCTCTTCTCCTCCCATGCCCCTCCCCAAGTCCACTGATAGGGGAGGTCCTCCTCCCCTTCCCTCTGACTCTAGCCTATCAGGTCTCTTTGGAACGGGCTGCATTGTCTTCCTCTGTGGCCTCGTAAGGCTGCTTCCCCCTCAGGGGGAGGTGATCAGAGAGCCAGCCACTGAGATCATGTCAGAGACAGCCCCTGCTCCCCTTTTAGGGAACCCAGTTGGAATCTGAGCCCCCTATGGCTTCCTCTGAGCAAGGGGTCTAGGTCCTCTCCATGCATGGCCCTTGGTTGGAGTATCAGTCTCTGTAGGGACCCCTGGGCCCAGGGTTTTTGGCTCTGTGTTCTCCTTGTGGAGTTCCTGTTCCCTCCAGATCTTTCTATCTCCCTCTTCTTCTATAAGGTTTCCTGCACTTTCCAAAGTTTGACTATGAGTTTCAGTATCTCCTTCCATACCCTGGTGGGTGGAGTCTTTCAGAGGTCCTCTGTGGAAGGCTCCTACCCTGTTCCCTGTCTTCTCCTACTTCCAATGTCTGTCCTGTTTGTGAAGGCATTATTATTAACTCAGGCACAGCATTAGACAGAGGAAATCTGACTCAGCCAATAATAAATGGTTTTGTAATGTCTCCAGCAAATCCTTCAGCCTTTCTTAACAGGATTTCACAATCTATCTGGAGTCCTTGAAGGATCCAGTTACAGAGCCCCACCCCCTCCATTCCCCATTAAACATCTTACCTACGGGTTACACATTTCTTTCTCTAGTTCATCTTTGGTTCTAATCCTGCCTTAAAATATCGGTCATAACCTTGTTACCTCTGCAGACTTACATCTTTTCTTTAAAATAAACACTCACGAGAGTGTTCCACCCCTAAGTCCCCATAAATTACCAGAAACTTAGAAAGCAGGACTTCTGGAACCATTTGCAACTTATGCAATCTATATCAAGGTTTTGTGAACTACAGCCTGTGGTAAAGAGTCAGTCTGCTGATGTTTCTGTAAATGAAGTTTTACTGAAACACAGCCAAGTTCACTGCTTTATTGTCTACTGGTTTTATGTTATACGGTAGCTGTGTAATTTTACTCAAGTATCTTGCTATGTGAATAAAATAGTTACTAACTCAATACCCATCCTTTTACATTAAAACAACAACAACAACAAAACACACACACACTAGAAAGTCCCTGACCTAGATGTCACTCCAACTCTAAAGCCACAGGCCATGACCGTGTTAAAACTGACCATCTCCTGGCTTGCCTCCTAAGCCACAGAACGCCTCCCTTATCATGGCCGTTAGCAACAGCCTGGATGACTAAGGTCTAAACTGATCACGTCAGGCTCTTCCTAACCCACATTCCCAGGGGGTGGCAGGGACGAACGTCCATCTGTCTGCCTGTCTGTCCCAGATGACTGACCGCATCTGCATCGCCGAGCAGCATACTGGCAGCCACAGACCTGACCACACCCACCTTATGCTGGGTGTTAGAGATCAGATTTATTCACGGTATCACTCCTATGATGACCTTTCTTTTACTATCTGGGTTTTCTCATCTTCAGCTTTAGGATACAATTGCTCCTTTCACAAAGAGAACTCCCCTGCTATCCAGAGAACCGTGGACTTTCAGACCTGTCTCCACACCGGAGGAGAGAGCAGGATGAGTACGCCTTAAGGGACCTTAAGGGTCCTTAAGGGACCCGTGCGTATGGGCTACAGAGGCACCTCACTTCCCAATCCCGCTGGTCCCAGGGACATACTTTTTCTGACTATATGTACCACCAGTGAAATCTACACATACTCCTTTAAATAAATTAACACATACAACCATGTAAACATTACACACATTTTTAAACATTAAAAATATTTGAAAAATTGAATAGATTCTTTAATGTGTCATAATCTTAATACAATTAATATCATTAATATAATTATGTACAATTATTGTTTCTACTAATAATTATATACAATTACTAATTAAAACAGTTAATTAACTATTAATACAATTATATACAATTGTTACTTCTCATACCCCATTAGATCTGGACACTCAGACTATCTGGACACTCCATTTGGAGAAAATCACTCCAGATATGCTTTGCTGTTGCTTTTTCTCTCTCTGTATATTTGGTCATATTTCCTTTGTTTGCTGTTCAACCTAGTTTTTTACCTTTCCATCCTCCCCTGAAGTGTGTGTTTTTTTATTTCCTAAGTCCAGGTTCTCTTCTCAGCACCAAGCTCCCTCCTCCCACCGTCCTCTGCTCTTTGGCTTTAAGTGGCAACAGCGGGTGGAAACTAAGCGATGAAAGCCTAAACACACCCAGTAACGAGTGTGGTTTAGCTATTGCGCCTGGCCCAGTGAGTGGCTCAGTCCTGAGCCACTAGTGCTCCCAAGCCCCGTGCACACTGCACATCACAGTGTCACGGATAACCACTTGCTCTGGCTTCTCTACCCAGAATCCTTTTCTCCTCTTTCCTGAACAAAGACAAACAGATTTAAATTATTTCACTGTTGAAAAAAAGTGTGAAAAGGTCACATCTTTGTGTATGTGTGCACACATGTCCTTGTGTGTGTGAGTGTGTGTGCATGTGTCTGCCTGCGGAAGGTGGGGATCAGCGTCCGCTGTCTCCCTGTTATTATTATTATACTATTTATGTCTGTGTGTGTCTATGGCTGGACATGCGTGTGCAATGTCTCATGAGGGTAATGGATCCCTCAGACTGGAATTACAGCTGCTAATTGGACGCCTGGCTCCTTACCTGAGTTCTAGGATCTGAATTCCAGTCCTCATAACTGCTCTCAACCTTTCAACTATCTCTCCAGCTTATCTTTTGTCTGTCTATTTTTGGGACAGGGTTTCTCTGAGTAGCCCTGACTGTCCTGGAACTTGCTGTGTAGACCAGGCTGGCCTCAAACTCAGAGCCCTGCCTTGCCTCTGCCTCTCCAGTGCTGGGATTAGAGACATAGGCCACCACACCCAGCATTCATGGAACTTTTAAGACAGGATCCCTGACTGAACCTGGGGCTTACAGATCCGGCTGACCGAGGAGCAAACAAGGCCAGAGACGGCTGTTTCTGATCCCCAGCACTGGGATCACAGGCATGTGCTACTGTGCCCAGCTTCTCCCCAATGGGGACCAAATGCAGGTTCTCACACGTGCATAGCAAGGATTTTACTGCCATATTCCCAGTCAGTCCCCAGACTTGATCTTCTTAGCTTACAACTGCACCTGGATGAATCCCAGCCCTAGATCAGATGCCCACGCTGATCCCAAATAAGGACTGGGGAACTACTAAAGTCCTCAGCACTGCTCTTAGTCCTGTCACTGTGGCGTGGCCGCCAACTGTGCTCTTCCCAGGTAACCCTGGGAAATCCCAAAATGTGAACTTGTGTGATGCCAAAATTTTTACCCATTTCATTATTAGTCAAACTGCCAAACAATAGGTATAACTAACTAAAGTCACAGGATCATGAACCATTATGTCATGGGAAAAAAAAAATCTCTAAAGAATTATATAAGCAGATAAAAACAAGTATCAAGATAGTTTAATGCCTAAGCCTACACAGACACTTACTGGGTGCAGCTGATTTAGATTCCAGTGCTTGTCGGGTCAGAGAATTCCCTGAAATAACAAAAATATAAGTTAAAAATGACAACTGAAAGATTCAAGCAATTTTCCTAAGCCTGACCAACAGAAAAGATAAAAAAAAAAAAAAAGAATCTTTGCAACACCCAGTACCTCTCCACTCTGTGGAATATGGTTGACTCAAATTCCTTGTTGTTTTGATTTTTTGTAGCTTTGGCTGTCCTGGAACTTGCTCTGTAGACCACAGTGGCCTCAAACTCAGAGATCCACCTGCCTCTCCTTCCCTAGTTCTGGGATTCAAGGCATGTGCCACCCCACCCAACTTGACTCAAATTTTTTAAAGTTCAAGTTTTTTCTGGAGTGATTTCCAGGAATTATTTATAGTTAAGTGAACACTAACTTAAATCTTTTATCACCTGAGCTCCCATTATCCTAGGGGAAGTTGAAAGGAATTATGAACTCACTCCCTTTCCCAGCTTTCTGCCAAACATTTATCTCATGAAAAGATGGAAGGAATTCAGGTGTTTATGCTGTTACCGAGCCTCGCTGGTGTCTCCCACACAAGAATTCTCTGACAGTCTGAGGTGCACAGGGGCCGATCCTTGGATCTCCCAGAGAAACCTTGGCGAAAGCCTGGCTTTGGGCCCCACTCTCCCTTCTGATACAGACAACGCCTGGTGAGGTGGCTGGCTACTGCTCTGGAGCTCACAGGGCACGAGTGTGCCACTGTGCTTAAAACCCTGTCATAACCCCAAACCACTACACAGACGGAATTTAGTGTTTAAGGTCAGTCCTGATGGGTGTGTAACCAGTGTACTTCATGAGTTATTCAATTTAATCCTTGTAACAGGGTTTTGGTGTAGCTAGTACTAGATTTTTTCCGTTAGAGACAAAGAAATTGAACACAGACTAAAAAAGCTGTAAGTGTCGGAGATGGGGGCTGAACTCAAATTCTTTCCAAGCCCTGGGTCGCTAACTCTGCCTATGAGTGTAATTCAAGAGATAAAGGGCGAGACTGGAAAGGTAGCTTTGCAGTTAGGAGCAGGACTGTTCTCGCAGAGGAACGCGGTTTATTTAGTTCACAGCATTCACGGAACAGCTCAAAAACACCTGTTACTCCAGGTCCAGGGGATCTGATGCCCTCTTCTGGCCTCCACAGTACTGCACACAGGGAGCATGTACATGCTGGCAAAACACTCACACACACACAAATTACAATGTTTTTAAAGAGGCAAGTGAGTACTAACCACAACTCTGCACATATTTGCTGACTGAATAATATATAGATAGTAAATACGAGGTTAGCTTTTCTTCATCCTTCAACTTTCTGCCGCTAAGGCAACAGATTTCTCAAATATTTAAACAACAAAAGGACAGATATCCCGAATTAAAATATCAAGTAAATGCCACCTCAGGAGACATAAATCAGCAGACGCAGGTTTCTGTACCCAGAGCTGTCAGGCAGGCAGGCCGCCTCGGATTTGGCGTGGAAATCCTGTCTACTTACCTTTCATCTCACTGCAGTGGGGCTCACTGGCAAATTCTTTAATCTGTAAAAGATGAGACAGTCTGACAGCAGTTCCTATTCTAAAGCACAAGTGGGTAGACTGAATGCAGACGAGATATGGCCACTGGTAAATGAACCTTCTCACTAAATCACCCCAACATATGCTTCCCAGCACAGGCAAGAACTGTTGACAAGTAACACAGTGGCCTTCTCCCATGATCATGGCCAATCATTTAATCTACCTTCCAATTTATTATCCGAGTTACCTCTGTGTTTAAAGCAGCTTTGGGGAGGCTTGCAAATAGTCCATTCTTGTCATTCAACTTGAGATTGTGAAGAACACAGAACCTCTGTGTTCTTGGAGCAATTATGCTGTTCAAAGATGCTCCGTGTACTCTCCCCCAGATGTACCTGCTTCCTCTGAGTGATGATGAGCTCATTCTGCTCCTTCAGCTTCTGGCCTAGCTCTTCTACCCGCCTCTTGTAGAAAACATTGTCTGCACTCAGATCTGCCATCATGGAGCTCCGAAGCTTTTCAATGTGTGACAGGAGCTGTGGAGACAACGGGGGTCCGTCAGCCCACAAGCTGCATGCATGGTTATTTTACAGATTTTATATGCTTGTCCTGACTTCCTTGATGGCTTTATGTGGTCTCTGTGCATTGGGCCACGCAGTAAACCTTCAGTCAGTGCTTATCAAGGTCCTGGCTGCACCAGACTGTGTCTCTTTCCTGGGAGTTTATGATCTGAGCAGAGGCAGTGGAGTCACCCTGAGCACATGCCACGAACCACCATGCAGCTGCTGCATGATCAAGGTTAAGGGTGTTTCCCCCACAGCCTGTAGCACCTCCATGATGAACTTTTCATGCAGCACTGACCCCTACCCTCATAGCCACATGCCAGCTCTGGCAGCCGTGGGCCAGTGACTTCGTTTGATTTTATATTCCCAGCCATCAGCAGAATCCCTGGCCCACATAGGTAGGAGCTTCAAGAATAGAGGGAGAAAGAGAAGGGTGGAATGGATGAGAAGGGAGGAGGAATGAATAGGAAGGGCGGAGGAACGAATAGGAGGAGTGGAGGAATAAATAAATGGGAAGGTGGAGGAATAAATGGGAAGGTGGAGGAATGAATGGGAAGGGAGGAGGAATGGATGGGAAGGGAGGAGGAATGGATGGAAAGGGAGGAGGAACAGATGGGAGGAGTGGAGGAAT